TCTTTATATGCATAACGTCATAAAGTCGGCCTTACATACAATTTTCATGAACGTAACTTTTGATGGCTGCCTATTTTCCTTTTACAGTCTGTTCATTGACGTTTCATCTGGTTAGAGGCACAAAATTAACGAACTCCTTATAGATTAGCGCTCCAAAATAAGCCGCGTTCATACTACCTGGCAGGGATAATTATTTCTGTCTCTGAAAATCTAAAAGGAAAATTGAATCCTAAGCAATAGCTACAATAAAACATTGGAACATTTATCAGAATTTATGATCATTAATAGAATGGCCACATCCATAGACATGAGAGGAAAAGGAGTACCTAACAGATTGGTATTTGCTGGAAACAGCATAGGTTCTATTTACTTGATTTGAAGGAAGCTCACAAAACATTGTTGAGAATTACCGAAGAAACACTGAAGACACCAATGAAAGCAAGCCTAATATGCTTGACTATGTGAATGAATAAATGAGGGACAAAATGTCTCTCACTTAGTGCGTGAACAACCCGAATAAATTCTTTTTTCTATGTACTGTCTGTGTGTTTACGTTCATCGTGGAGGTAATGGACATGATGTAAATGATAATCCATACCCTGAAATTATTGGGCATCCTAATGGAATCTACTATTATCGATTTTTAGATGAAGCAGCCAAATTCTAATAAACTAACTATATTATCAAGGATTTTAGAGTGATTATTATTAAATGTCCTTCAACATGTTTAAACACCTTTTGGACAATAAATAGCGACGATCTCAACCTGTGGTGAATAAATAACTACTAACAAGCCCGATCAAATATCTGAACTTTTTAAGTATATTTTTTCTATGTATTAACTTATCACGCACCAGCCCATACACATAAACTATAAACCAAAGCTCAGCCCAAATATAATAATTGTGCCAGGTGGGTTCATTTTGTGTAATTTGACGTACCACAGGATACTTGCAATGTTGTAGCAAAAAAAAAAAGTTTATATATTGCTGGTGAAAGACATCCTATATCATATGGAAGTAATAAAGTGTTCAAGTTAAATGACTGCAAAATTTATACGACATACATTGACTTGTTGTATTTACATATTTTCGATTGAATAAACATAATTGAGCAAAGTACTATGAGCGATAATTGAGTTTTTCGAGCAGGAAACGCGTTAATCACTGTTCCAGAAGCTCTCCAGTTTGTGGTGTTCAGATGTCAGTTTGGGATACTGCCTGACTTTCAGATATTGACATATAAGTAGCCATTTTATTCATATTCTCGTCCACGAGATTTCGTGTTGAGTCAAGGCTGCTAAAGTAATACAAGGTGCCAGATGGAGATTTCGAAGTACTTGTATGAATCTGAGATGATCATTTATCAAGAAACATCGGATAAAGGGTTTATTGACCAATTAAACCTTGTTAGTCAACGTATTCTCATTAGCTGTGCTAGCGTCATTTTCCAACGTGTTCACCTTCATCCAGATGTCTTGTCATCATTGTGGAGGATGTTTCTTGAACTCATCAATTAATATGACTGTTTGAGTTGATTGTAATCTTGATCAACCTTCATGGCACTACCTATCAAATAGTTGTTCTTCTTTTTTCCTTGCAAATTTAACACATCATAATCAGCATTGTGTTGTACTGACAGTGAAGTGTGGACTTAAAGAAATTTGCCAATAAACGCAATTTGTATTAATAGTCTAATGCTCTCTTGGGCATTTAACATTTTCAGCAATTTTGTCAAAGTGAAGAATATATTTATTTGCGTCTTTAACCTAAAATGGGGGTACTAACCTATTTTGTATACTAACATCAAAATCTGAACTATTGTGAAAACATGCTTTGCTTGACATTTATAATTATGTTAATCTTCTCTTTCCATTTCTCTCCCTCTCGCTCCCTCCACCGTGTACCTATCTTCTCGTTGCATCTGCGTTTGTTATCTTCTCTCTCTCTCTTTATGTATGTTTCTTCACTCTTACTTTACATCTGCTTCTATTTGCATACACATTTTCCTCTATTACTGCTCCCTCTGCCTTTTCTTGCCTCTCCCTGCAGTTATAATTGGATCCAACAGACGTAATTTAGAGGATTTTGTATATTTATCAACTGGGACGCTTGTGTACTGTTCATTTAGTGACATCACGAACACGGTTTCCTGAGTACTGTTCATTTAGTGTCATCACGAACAGGACTTAATTGTTAGAGGCAAAGTGAAGTTTATACATAATTATTTAAAACTGTAAAAATATCCTTTCCTTGACTTGCCGCATTGTCCGAATAATGATTGACTGTATATTTCTTTACATTCTTTTGCCATATCGTGTTAAGCTTTCATCTAGAACACTTTGTAGGCTGCAGAACAACTGGGAGTAATGTATATATTCTCTTAGTTGAAATCAAAGAGACGATGACCTACACACACACACACTATATATATATATATATATATATATATATATATATATATATATATATATATATATATATATATATAATCATCTAAT